CTTCATCTGGTCTGTTCCTGTTTGGCTGTGACTCCATCCTGGAGAGAAATATCAGCTGTGCTGCTGCCATCAACACCTTTGTTTCTACATTGTGTGTAGAATTATTAGGTAAGTTGTATTTTTGAGGATTATTTTTATTATTGGGCTCAATTGTGTTCTTAATCAACCCAAAAGACTCCTTAATATTAAAGTTTCATATTTTTGGATGTTGATGTTTTTTTTTGATTTGGCCATTTTATGAGGATTTCTGTGTGTGGAGGTACATATTACTGTGCAGAATTATTAGGCAACATAATAAAAAACAAATATATTCCCATCTCACTCGTTTATTTTCACCAGGTAAACCAATATAAACTCAAAAATAAACATTTACTACATTCAAAAACTAAAAAATCCCAAATCAGTGACCAATATAGCCACCTTTCTTCAACATGACGCTCTAAAGCCTTCCATCCATAGATTCTATCGGTGTCTGGATCTGTTTGTGATCCACATTGCGTGCAGCAGCCTCCACAGCCTCCCAGACACTGTTTTCCCTCCCTGTAGATCTCACATTTCATGAAGGACCACAGGTTCTCCATGGGGTTCAGATCAGGTGAACAAGGGGGCCATGTCATTATTTTTTCTCCTTTTAGACTTTTTCCGGCCCGCCAGGCTGTGGTGCATTTTGATGCGTGTGACGGAGTATCGTCCTGCATGAATATCAGGTTTTTCTTGAATGATTCTTCTTCTACCACTGTTTGAAGAAGGCGTCTTCCAGAAACTGGCAGTAGACCTTCTCAATTCATGGGGAGTTATTTTGCATCTTCTTTTTTCAACACGCTTCTTGCTCCCCTGTTGGCTATTTGCCATGAACCGCTTGATTGTGCGATGATCCCGCTTCAAAAGCTTGGCAATTTCCAAACTGCTGCACCCCTCTGAAAGACATCTGACAATTTTTGACTTTTCAGAGTCTGTCAAATCTCTTTTCTGATCCATTCTGCCAAAGGAAAGCACACCACCTGATTTATTTAACTAGCAGTTGGCTTTCAAGCCTTTACAGGTTGGAGTAGAACAAAATGTATGAAAAGGAGGATGTGGTGGAAATACTCATTTGCTAATAATTCTGCACACAGTGTAGACAGTGGAGCTTGGCCTGTTTTTCAGTGTAGTCCTGTTTCTCTGACTGTGACTAACTGTGCTCTCCTTATCCTCCGACATGGGAGTTGGCTCGGAGCTCGTCTGCCTGGCTGTGTGTTTCCTGGACGGGGTCGCCTGTGGAGCTGGTTGACAGTTGCCTTTTGTATCTTGTCCCACTGTCGCTACAAGCATGCTTAGTGTGAGGGATTGCTGAAGAGTCAA